CAAGCAAAAGGTCAGTGGTTCAAACTCACCAGCTGCTCTTCAGTAGAAAGATGTGGCAGTCTGCTTCCATAGAGACTTGCAGCTTTGGAAATTCTACGGGGCAGTTGTACTCTATACTATAGGGTCGCTATGAATGGGAATTGACTTGATGGCAGTGGGTTTTTTTGGTTTCATTGAGATTCCTTACTTACAATTTCTTTTTTTTTTTTAATGAAAAGTACAGAAATAGGTCGATAATTCTAATAATTTCCCAACCAAAGGAACATTTTTGCATGAAGTAAATTGATAACTGAGGCATCTCAATTCTTTACTTCAGATTGCTGAATAATCACCGCCCCAGTGAATACTTCTGTCCTGGGTTGGGCATGGATCAGGATGAGGCCTGGCTTAACCCTTGTGAATAACAGACCACTAACAACAAAAATTCAAAATAGGTTTTGCTTATATTCATTACCATTTGTGCATGCAAAACCTACAGTTATGACAAGAGCTAGATCAGCACAGCAGAGTGAACGACTGGGCTATGTTCCATGCCAATGTTATCAGCTATTAAAAATGACTGTAAAGCTCTTTTGCAATTATAAAATCTATGTAAATGCTTAAAAAAATAAGAAAACCATTCTCAGATCTATTTAACTAATTTCATGTTTTTAGACAATTATTTGGTTTCATACTTTGGTAAGAACATCTCTAGAGATTGGAGAAAACAAGAATGAAAAAACCTGGTATGTTTCAGGTAATCTTGGTATGACCAAATCCTATGTTTATTCCCACTCCAGTCAGATAGAATAATGTGAGCCACTTGGCTCCAGTTTTTCAAAGCTTCTTTTTTGAGAATAACTTCTTATAAAATTAGTATGGATTTGAGATACATAACCGTGTTTTTAACTGTTTGCGTCAAGCACACCAGTTACAGGAAACAATGAAAAGCACATCTTACAGGGAGAGAAAAGCAATCAATACATAATAGAGAAAGTGGCTGTTATTAACTGCATAATAAAAGGTTAGTTTGATTGAGCTTAGCATGTTATGCTTTTGGTTCAATGCTTTCTGAGGGACTGGGTAGGGAGAAGGGAGGGAAGGGAATCAAGGTATTTTCTAAGCCTAGGTTTCCTCTGGATAAACTATGGAAGATAACTGCATAGTCAATACAAAGGGAATCTGTCAACACAAAGACCTCAGAGTACTTTAAATTTCCTAAAAATCCAGGTACACAAACATGCATGCACGCACACATGCATGCACCTATGTCTTTTAATTTTCCTTAAAAAAGCCTAGCACAAGTATAAGAAATCTACGGACAAAAATCCTGCTTTGTGCAATAGATGTTTCTGAAAGGACTAGCTGAAAAAATTTTTTTGCAAACTGAATCATGTTGAGCACATTAGGATGGCTTATTATTTAAAAGACTACTTCCTATTAATCCTTTTTGCAACTAAAAGTTGTTTGTGTTTACAAATAACTTTTTCCACTGTATTCCAAGTTCTAGATCCCTGGAAGTAGTCACCTTTCAAACAGGGCTTGCCAAAGAAACACGCAGTGCTTACAACTTTGGTCCTGTGTCTTGTTTAGGGGTCCCTGATGGTGCAGTGGTTAAACTGCTCAGCTCCTAACCAAAAGACAGTAGTTCAAACCCACTAGCCGCTCTGTGGGAGGAAGATCTAGGAGTCTACTTCCGTAAAGATATGCAGCCTTGGAAACCCTATGGGGCAGTTCCATCATGTCCTATAGGGTCACTATGAGTTGGAATCGACTCAATGGCAATGGGTTTTGTTTTGTTTGTTTGTTTGTGTCTTATTTACTAACCATCACTGGGTGATTCCTGTCCTCAGGCTCACCCCTAGTAGCTGGAATTTGATGGCTCCTGCTGTTTCTCTGGCTTCAGGACTCATGGTCCATGCTTGGACCATGACATGGGCTTTGACCATCCTCCTAAATCCTGACTAGGATCCCTTTCCCTCTTTCTGGCTTTGCTATTTCTCTGTTGCAGGTGGTAGTTTAAAGCAATCCTGTCCTCTTAGGCAGCCTGAGCTATGACGTCCCAATCCACCTCTCATCCCCCTCCTTACACCTTTGCCACCTCTGCTCAATTTTTCTATTTTGTTTGCCTAGATTTTTATTTATTTAATTTCTTTTCAAAGCTGAAAATACCTGGACTTATTTCCAGGGGCTCTTCTGGCTATTTGCTGAAAGCAATTAAAAAAAAAAAATCAAAACAAGAATAGGGGAAAATAGCCAAGATCCAGAACAATGGCTCTCAAAGTATGGTCCCTGAATCAAAAGCACCAGCATCAGCATCCCCTGGGAACTTGTTAGAAATAAGAATTCTCCAGTCACCCCAGACTTACTGAATCAGAAACTCTGGGGGTGGGTCCAGCACTCTGTATTTTAATAAATCCCCTAGGTGGTTTTCACACATGCTAAAGTTTAAGAACCACTGGTCTAGGAGGAGGAAAGAAGGTATCTGACAAATGTTTTGGACAAAATGAGGTATACCATTAAGAAAAATCAAGTCTGTATTATTGACACAGAAGAATGTCTAGAATATTCTGTGTAATGAAAAAAGCAATTGTAAAACCTCAGGTATAGTATAATTTCTGTAGAAAATTAAAAAATGTACTTTCATATGGCAAAATGTCTAGAAGGTTACACAGCAAAATGTTAATAGTGGTTAGTTCAGGGGAAATAGCTTTACTTTTCCTCTGAGTATTTTTATTTGTTTAATCTGTAAGCATATATCATCTTATAGTTTAAAAAATGGTTAATTTAGGCATCTTCCACTCCTTTCTGGCAAAACTCAGAAGTAAAAATTAACTGAGGCCCCAGCAGACTTCAGTGTCTGGACTAATCAAGCTTTGTGATACTTTAGGGAATTCTAGGGGAAGTGAGGCAGAGATAGTGCTCAGTCCTCCATGACTCAATCAGTGCTTCTATGTAAAGCCACTGTGCCAGGGAATGACAGGTTATAAAGCCTGGGAGATTCTGCCATTCTTAAATAGGCCAACTTAAAAAAAAAAGGAATGGTGGGCTTCCGAAAGGAAAACAGAACAAACCAAAATCTTAAGGATTCTCTTGGGAGACACCAATTTATTTCTGGAAAATTTTCTTTGTTGCAGAAATTATATATTTAAGTGGCCTATTTTTTATCCCCCTTCCTGACCTGGCAGTCATTCTGCAATTATGTTCTCCCTTCTTCAAGCTGGTATTAAGAATACACAGCATACGAACATGGTAGACTAGGAAGAGACTTGGAAATAAAATAGGTTGGTGGCAAATGATCCAGGCAAGATAAAGATAAGCAGAAGAGAGGTGAGTCTGTATACATGTATCCAAGATCAAGTCAGGTCCTCACAAACATTCTTTAGTTTATGATGCATCATGTGAAAATCCTAAGGCTTCATGGGGCCATTCAATTATTTCACCTCTGGCAAGTTTCCCATCAGAAGCACTACACGCATCACAAAGGATCCCAAAGCATTTTACCTCTGTTATCATCATACACAGGGGTCCCTCAGTCTGATTTGCACACATCCTCTCTTCACTGCCCTGCTGATTACAATCATGTGGGTGTGGCAGAAACAGAAAACAGGGCTGTCACCCTCAGGGGAGCTGTTGCCCCAGAAACCAAAGGAACTTGGTAAGAAAAGCTTTAGTAACTGTTAATAATTAATTGGATCATCTTTGCTAAAGGAAAAACTACTTATACCAAGGGTCCTCCTACCTTGAGTTAAGAAAGTTGATAAAGTTTACCCCAATATTTTTGTATCTATCAAGATACGCTCTACCTCTGGACCCCTAACTACACTGGAAGACAAAAGAGATCACCAATGCCCCAATACTTTTGATGCGGTATGAAGACAAAATTATTTTGTAGATGGGTGGCAGCAGTCACCTTTTGAAAAGCCTGTCACCGTCTGTGGCTCGGCCTCATATATTGTTTCAACTTAGATAACTGAGGCACAATGTGGTTATATGGTAGAAAGGAGATGAAACCTAGTGCTTGGTCTACAGCACAATATGAAAGAAAGAGCATAGGCATTGGAGTCAGAGTTTGAATTCCAGCTCTAATATATCCTAGATTTGAGGCATGTGACTCTACCTCTCTAAGCTTCAGTGTCATTATAAAAAAAAATAGGAATAATAAACTCTACAGAGTACTGCAGTGATCAAAAGTATGTAAGGCTCCTAGAACAGTGCTGGCTCTCAGTAGGCGCTCAAAAAATGTTAGTCCCATTCCCTTTATAAAGAACCTCTAAAGAAAAAAAAGGAGATAGAAAAATTAAAACAAAGCCATGCTCCTTTCCCTATTTAATTGTGAGAGGCTTTGACTCTCAGGCAGAGCCAGCTGGCACCAAGAGCAGGTAGTGCCACAGTAAGTGTCTGGGAGGGAGTCTATGTTAGTCATAATCAGTTCCTAATCCACCTCCACCCTGGCACAGCATCTCCCACAATATCAACCATCCAGCCCCTAACATCTTACAGAAAAAACTGAAAGATTTAAACCAGAAAAAACTGAGAGATTTAAACCATTTCTCAGACCACACTCCAAGTCATGAGGACAAGAGCATTCTCAGTGGCAGCTGGCTCCTGCAAGCAGGGGAGAGACGAGATACAAGTGCTGAACACCAACTGGATGGGTCTGGCTCCTGTTCCCGTCCTCAGCATTAAGCTGATCAGTATCTCAGATGCCTTTGGGTGGACTTAATGGACACAGAGGACAGAAGCCTCAAAGGCCTGGTAAAAGAAGATTAAAAAATGCACCTGTCTGCAGCCGGGGGAAAACAATTAATGGTTATGTGTTCTAAGTCATAAAATAGAGAAGGGGAAAAAATAGATGACTTATCTCTAGGCATATGAGGACTCTGCTCTGTTTTTGATGGGCAAGCTTAATTAGATCTTAATGTAATGTTCAGATAGATGATCATTAACATCCCTCAAACTTAGCTTAAGGAGGAAGAAATGGGGTACAACACCCAATCAATTTCTAAAACAATACTTACTTTAGGATCTGAGCTCTTGAATTTTAACCTTTCCACCAACTCTATCATAGCTGCCTTCAGTCCGCCTGAGTCTTTGCTCTGGAAGAGAGAAAAGTTAGGGATCACTAGACAGCAATTTGTTGTTCTCAGAAACACACACAGCATTTCAGAGGACAATGAAAAGCAAAGCAATTTTTTCTTCTTATTAGCCAAGAGTACTGTACTACTAAGGAGAGCTGTGTTGCTCCTCTTCCCCTTCTCTATGGACAAAGAGGGTCAGAACCTGGGAAAACTACTGGAATGAAAATTAAATGCAATTTGTACAGGATGACTCATCACTTCATCTCATGGCTCAACTGTGCCAGTGAGGGCCAAGGCTCTGCAAAAAAAAGATTTCCATTCAGGATGTCTATTTTATGGTCTAGTGATTTTTATTTCAAACTTCTATATGTCAAACACAGAAGTGTACAACATTAAATATTCTTATAAAAAAAAAGGAAAAACATCCCAAGATTTAACTGAAAATGATTAGGAGCACAGGTTTTTGAGTCAGACAGATAAGGTTTTGAATTTGGGATCTGTCATTAACTAGTTGTCCAACCTCAGACAAATTACTGACTTTCTCAAAACTTTCTCCCCTTCAATAATGACGATAATAAAAAGAGAGGTTTTTTTGAAGCTTAACTGAAATAGTGTTTGTAAAGCTACTAGCACAGTATGTGGCACATAGTAAGTGCTCAAAAGATGTCAACTGTTATTTTTTTTTTGGATTGTAATGATTTGGAACGCTGTAAACATCAAACAGAAATATAATGTGAGCTACAAATGTAAGCCACATATGTAATTTAAAACCTTCTAGTAGCCACAATAAAAAAGTAAAAACAAGTGAATTTTAATAATATATTTCACTAAAGTCAATATAACCAAAATATTATCATTGCAACATGTAACTTCAACATGAGACATTTTATATATATATATTTTTTATACCAACAAGTCTCTGAAATCTAATGTGTATTTCACACTCACAGCCCAATTCAATTTGCCCTAGCCACATTTCAAGTGCTCTATAGTCACATCGGAAACCCTGGTGGCATACTGGTTAAGAGCTATGGCTGCTAACCAAAAGGTTAGCAGTTCAAATCCACCAGGTGCTCCTTGGAAACTGTACAGGGCAGTTCTACTCTGTCCTATAGGGTTGCTAGGAATTGGAATCGACTCAATGGCAATGGGTTATAGTCACATCACTATGAGTCAGAATTGACTCAATGGCAACAGGTTTGGTTTTTTAGTATAGCCACTTGAGGAGCCCTGGTGGCACAGCAGTTAAGAGCTTGGCTGCTAACCAAAAGGTTGGCTGTTCGAATCCACCAGCCGCTCCCTGGAAACCCTATGGGGTGGTTCTACTCTGTCCTACAGGGTCGCTATGAGTTGGAATCAACTCGACGGCAGCGGGTTTAACTTGCGTTTTTAGCGTGGCTCTAGAGTCTACGCTCTAAATGGGTGCTGACCAATAACAGCAGCCACTAGCCACATGCGGCTATAAAACACCTGCTGCTGTCGAGTCGATTCTGACTCACAGCGACCCTGTAGGACACAGCAGAACTGGGCCCACAGAGTTTCCAAGGCTAGAAATCTTCACAGAAGCAGACTGTCACATCTTTCTCCCACAGATCAGAGTGGCTGGTGGGTTTGAACGGCCAACCTTTTGGTTGGCAGTTGAGTGCTTTAACCACTGTGCCACCAGGGCTCCAGAAAGCCACGCTGCCTAAATTCAAATCCCAACTCTACCACTAGCTGTGTGACCTTAGGCAAGTCCCTTAGCCTCTCTGTGCCTCAGTTTCTTTATCTGTAAAATGTGGCTAATAGTAGTACCTATTTCATAGGGTTGTAGTAAGATTAAATAAGTTAACACATTATCAAGATGCTAAGAAAAGGGCTGGCACATGGCAAATATAATGTAAGTATGAGACATTATTATTATTGTCTGTCTCCTTCATGATGTTTTAAGTTGCTTAAGGGTAAAAACTACATCTTTTATTTCTATATTTCCTGTGCACAGCTCCAGAGGTATTTTTAAAAGTCTGATAATGAATGAATGAGCATAAATCTTAAGACATGAATGCCCTAATAATAATACATTACATGTATGTAGCACAATCTAAAGTCACATAACTTAGTTTATTTTCTTATCTAAACAACTCTATAGATAGGGTAGAACCATCACCCTCATTTTACCAGGAAGCATGAAGTCATTTTTCCAAATGGCTGTCATTTTTATGGGGAAGGGACAATAAAGAAGTATAAGTATAAACAAACACTACAAATATCTCTTACTCAAAACTGGCCTCAGAATCAGTGATATTTTCCAAATTTCAGGAAATAGTAAGATCCCATTATACGGATTAAAATATACTAAAGATTGATTTTTTCCCCTGTAGCCTACCATTCCCCTCAAGACTATACAACAAAATCTGACAGAACACCACTCAAACTAATATCTGCTTCAGATGTGCTCACCAAACCCAGTTTATATCACATTTCCATTCAGATGTGGTTCTAAATTTTAATAATCTGTATTTTTAAAAATGATGCTTTACAACTCTCCTAATTTCTTCATCAATTTCAACTCTTTAATTTCTGTAGTTTCATAGTAGAGACTTGGCAAAAGGAATCTGGAGGTCACATACCAGGGAGTGGGTGAGACCTAAAGTACCTAAAAAAGGGTTAAGTTGCCAAACACTATCCTGCTTTTATAAGATGATCAGACAATAAAGCCTGCCTGATGAAATCATTCCTCTAACCTGCTTCTCATTGGCTGAACAAGCAGGTCACTTGTCCCTGGAAAGCTCTCTTCCGCAACATCCCAGCTGCCGGCGCCCATTTTAAGCTCTTCAGCAAGAGCCCTGATTTGGCTGTCCCCCTGGCTTTACAGAACAGAAAGGAATGCATCAAACTGTGCCTTAAAACCTTCAGAAAAGAAACAGGACAACGACGGAGGAATCCCTAAGAAGCAGCCAGCCTGTGTGCAGGCAGATGTGCCTTGCACAGAAAGACAAGTGAACCCTTAGCCTCCTTTCATAAAAACGTAGTGTCAGCAGAATCCTCCCTCCTTTTCACAAAGCATCAGCAGCACTGCCTACCCAGGGGAGAGACAGAGGCTCAGAGAGCCTTCCTTCAGGAAATTCACCCATTCCACCTCCCCATCCCACTCTTTAAGAATTCTTCTCAAAGATTAATTGGGCTCTGTTGGCCTTGTATATGCTGATGGCTTTTTTAAACCATAAAACAAGCAGTTGGTCAGAAGGGAGAGGCTTTGCTGGGCAGACCTGACCCTGACAGCTGTAGGGCTGGAGCAGCAATACAAATAGAGAACCTAGCCTAAAATCTACCCCACTTCTTTTCCCACACCCCTACACCCCAAACGACCTTATGCACAGATGACAGACCCCAGCCAGCACATCCAAGCTCTGGAACACCCCTCCCAAACAGTTGTCCCTTGGCCACAACTGGGACTTAGGGATTCATAATCCCTCCAATGGCTTAATCCATCCTTCCATCTTTGGGAAGAAGGGCTCAGTAAGTCTCTGAGAGCCTGGAAGCAGGTTCAGGACATTTGGCCAGGTATATCTTTGGTCCAGGAGTCCTGGTGGCACAGTGGTTAAAGGCTTGGCTCCTAACCAAAAGGTCAGCAGTTCAAATCCACCAGTCGCTCCTTGGAAACCCTACAGGGCAGTTCCACTCTGACCTATAGGATTGCTATGAGCCAGAATCGACTTGACAGCAATGGGTTTGTTTTTGGCTTGGATCTTGGGTCCTGAGTATGTGAAGAATAGTCTAGAAGGGGAAGGGCATGATCAAAGAAGGACTGGAGGAGGTGCTTTCTAAAGATGGGAAGGGGCACGGGGATGTCTGGGTCTAAGGGTTGTACCTGGGTATGGGTGTCCCCAAACCAAAGAGTGGTATCAGATTTTAGTTAATTGTTTGCGGAGGGCAGCCATTAGTCAAAAGGTAAGCAGAACAGATTATACCCTCCTACTCCTCCCTAATGTGGGTAGGACAGAACAGCTACCTCTGAAACTTGTGTTCTAATTGAGAAGTGGACCAGGGCAGTAACAAAAGGCAGGCTATGGATTAAAGAGTTTTCCAGGAAACACCCAGCACAAAAAGAAAATAACTGACTACAAAAATAAGCCCTTTTCCATAATTCTAACCTTGTAAATATTTGGTTCCATAAATGGTTAGACTCTACTAGGACAATCATCCTTGAGGCAAGCACCATGACTAGCTAAGAAGTGAAATCTGCCTGATACCCACACTTCTCCACCTCTATCCTACTCAATGCATTCTAAGAACAAAGGAATTCAATGTGAACATATCTTGTTTATGCACCTCTTTCCTTCCCCAAAAGAGTGTAGAATAAAAAGAGACATGTGCTATGTTGTGACACCCACCCCTCAGAGTTTGATCAGTCTGTGGAGGTGTGGGATGTTTCACAAAAGCCAGCTTCTAGGGATGAGTCATAATAAAACCAAAGAAAGGACAAAATGACTTATATTTGAAGGTATTCTTTACTTCCCAAAGCACTTCATACCTCTTTCATTGGCATTTCACAATAACTCTAAAAAGTAGTATATCTCACTTTACAACTGAGAAAAATGGCTGGTGGAAACCAAATGATGATGAACCCCCAAATTACAGAGCTCACATACTCTTTCACTGGCATTTCACAATAACTAAGAGATTGAGTATTCTCACTTTACAATGGAGAAGAATGAGTTTGTGGAAGTCAAATGATATACCCCAAATCAAACAGCAAGTCAGTGGCAAAACTAGGTTCAGAAAGATCCAAGTGAAAAAATTTGTAACATATATAACAAAAGAGATTGGTATAAAGAATACACAGAAAACACATAAGGAATTCCTATAAATCAGTAAGAAAAAGCCAAATAAGCCCAAAAGAAACCCCAAAAAAGGATACGAAAATAGTAGAAATGTGAAATGGGTAATGAACTTACGAAAAGATGTACAAGATGTTCAAACTTAGTAGTAATTAAGACTCCACTTCTTACCCATCAGACTGAAAAAAAAATTCAATC